GCCAGTGACAGTGGGAAAGAGAGTGAAACGAGGAAAGGGAGGGATTCTCGGAATGGAGTTGATTATTCTAAGCTAATTCAAGGTTATGACCGTATGGTAAGTTCAACTATTTAGTTTCATTACTTTTTTGTTTTATTTGCATGAATTGGATTGGTGGATATATTTGATGTTTAGATGCTATGGCATACGTAGGGCTAGTTGCTGCGTGGCTGGTTTAGAGGAATAAGCTGAAACATAATGATTTCTGTTGAAGCTGTATGCTCAATACAGGACTCACCTTGCGCGATACTTTTGTTTTTATATTTCAATTTGAATCATTATGCCATGCCAAGCTAATTGTCTTAACGATGCATCTTGCACGTAGTAGTGTCTTCAAAGTTGAAATCCTACTATAGGATCTTAACTTTGAGACTTTAATCTCAAGGAATTTGGAAGGGAAGGAAAAGGAAGAGTAAAACTATAATTTCTAATGAATTTTCTAAGTTAATAACATTTTATAATAAAAGAAATAATTGAGGTCAGTCCTCAAGAAAATAAACAGAAATCCCTGGAGGATGAGGATCGAATCTCTAAGCTAGAGAGGGGTTGCCCCCTAATTGGGGAGAATAGTCGATTCTCAGATGGCCCCAAAGATTAACCTATACTTGATGTCCCAATCTTTTGTTAAAGAAACATTATATAACTTTCTTAATTTAAAAGTTTAAAATTTACCCTAAGTTTCAAGTGTCATGATGGAGTTTTGTTGTTGCTATTGTCTACAGTCATCTGCAGAAAGAGTTAAAGCCAAGATGAAGCTTCAGCTTTCTGAAACTGGTAAGGCAATAGATCTTCAGGGCAGAACTTGTTCATTCTTCAAAATTACATTTTGGCTATATTTATTGAAATAAATTACTTTCTTATTGTTTGTAATGTAACACTGATCTCAATAGCACTGATACTCAATGTTCTGAAAATATTTTCTGCAGTGAACTAGTTTAAAATTGATTTTCAAGAAATTGTCATGTTAATCTTCAGGGTAAACTTTAATATTTTCTGTAGTGAACTAGTTTAAAATACTTAATGTTGCATTCTTGGTCTTCTTCTAGTATATTATCATTTGATATTAGAAACTGGTTTAGGTTGCTACTATTTAGTGATATATATGAACGAGGCTAGGTATTACCAACCAAATTTTTAATATTTCATACTTTGAGTGTTGATATAATTATAAATATTTTCTTTTTACCTTACCAAATGAAATGTTTTATCCATTTGGTATTAATTTCCTTACTCAGATACCTTATTACTTTAAAATGCAGCTTCACAGGATTTAGAAAAGGGTGTGGGCTGGGAGCGATTTGAGTTTAACAAGGATGCCCCTCTCGATGATGAAGAAGTTGAAGGTCAGACTTGTTTCTTAATATTGTTATCTAAGTAACAGCTTTCTCAATATTGAGTAATAAGTACCATAATTATATGCTTGTCAAAAAAATTATGTTTTCTTTCATTTTATACTTTTCCAATCGTTGATGATGGTCTTTCCAGCTATATTTGCTTGTAATTGACAGTAAGTACTAAATAGTGATGGATTTGGGTTGAACTTAATATAACTGATTGTACACGCCCCCCATCTGCAGTTGCTGAAGATGATGCATCTTTAGTCAAGCACATTGGCCACAGTTTCAGATTTTCTGCAGTTGAGGTATCTTCCTCATCTTTCATGCTCAAATAATAAATTTCATTCCTTCTTGATGTACATGTCGAATTTATGTTTGGAAGACTGAATCTCTTATTGTTATGTAGGCAAAAAGGGAGGAACAAATACAAGCTGCTCACGAGGAAGCTATGTTTGGTGCTACAGCACATCCACCTCCCATCAGTACAGACAATGAGCCTGAAAAGGAGAACGAGAAGGACGTGGATAAAAAAGAACTGGTTACAAGCCTCTTAAGTGAAACAGTAAGCAATTTTGTATGCCACAGTGCACATGGGTAATTATATAAGATAATTCAAGTAACTTCATTATATTTTGGTTTCAGGTGCTGGCCAAGCAAAAAGGGTCTTGGCGTGATCGGGTTCGTCAGGCTTAGAATTTTCACCTTAAAGTTGATGCTGAATTACCGAGGATGAAAAGCTGGACAAATGTCGCATGTAATTCAATTTTGCAGCTGGAATTAAGGTGCAAATTTGCTTGGTTTCTATTATGGTGTGAGATGGGCTTTAACCATGTATACAGCCGGTATCCGTTTCCTCTGCTGAAATACTATTATTTTCAAGCCTATATAACTAGTGAGGTAGGCTGTGTTACTGTTTATCATTTCAGAAGTGGGATGTGTGAAAGTGTGAAACGCCATTTGTCTTCTGTGTAATGTCAGTTTCGTCGTCAAATATTTAGAGGGAAAGCTGGCTAATAGAATAATGTTAATACAGAGACATGTCACCTCTGATGTGCGGAGGAGTGCTAGTAACATGTTCACTATCATATTCCTCTTAACATATTCACTTTTATTGATTAGAAATTATTGAAAATTACAAAATCAAGAGAGAATCATTAAATAAGAATGAGACTCATCAAATTTTGTATTTTCAATAAATTTCAACCAATGAAAGTGTGTTTAAAAGAGTGTTCCTAACATTTTTCCGCTGAATAGTTTTCACCATCTGATTATAGTTAGTTGATCTCAGCTCATTTTTTTTTCACATTTTTAATTCCGTTTCCTTACATAGATGCGAGATGATGTGACTTTATGGGATGTGTATTAAGTATTATCCGTACCAATGCGTGAAATCTTTGGAGAAGGGTTCGTGTGTAGTTAAATATTGTGAGTTAGCAGGAGTTTTTTCCCCGTTATCCGTATTAGAAACAATTCTCTTTATAGAATTTCATTTCACTGTTATATTTTGGTTTTACTGCAGTGGTGAATCCTTATCCTGTGATGTGGGCCTATACCGTAACGCTAGTACATTTATGTCAAGAATTATTTGCTTCCTTTCAAAGTGTCTCTCTTTATATCAGAGCAAGTAAGCAATACAAATTTTATTGAACATACAAGAAAAGAAGTAAATATCTAAACTTTTAGGTAAGTGCTTTTGGTTAATCATGTATTGAATGATATATGTGATGGGGTGCAGTGGGCTAGTCTTGTTATAATGTTTTTTTAGTTTATCATTTAGCAGAATAGCTGGTTCAATGAACGTTTTGCATATAACTCCGTACACGGTATTTATATATTTGTTTAATATTTATATACATGTGCGCGTGTTGAAATCTGGGTTTTTCTTATTAAAATTGTTTTCAAAATTAAGTGATCTAACTCGAGTTGAAAACTGGAAATTGGCCACTTAACATATGAGAAATCTTGAAGGTACATGAGTAGTGATTTGGAAGGGCTATAAGCCCGTAGATGGTTTAGGAAGAGAAAGATGGATTGTATAAAAAATAAGGCTGTGACGTATGTGCAAATTTTGGATGGCGAGGATTAGTTAGTATTTTCTGTGTCACACATCTCTAGTTCTTTGTTTCATTTGGTGGTCAAAGATAGGATAGTCGAATTATGTTAAAATTCATTATTTATTGTGCTAACATGATTTATTGATTGTCTTATCATTGTTGTTTGGTGTTTTTTTTTATAGGGTGGGTTAGGTTTGGGAAAAATATAATAGGCTAAGATTTTTCCCCTCTTCATTCTCGTATTATATTATACAAAAATAATAATAATAATAATAATAATAATAATATATAATAATATAACATATATAGTACTAAATATTAATTTATAAAATATATAACAACATATATTATATAATATTAATCTATATGGTAATAATATAATATTATGGTAACTTCTAAAAAATATATGCAATTATTTTCAAGAAATGACTAAACCAACAAACTTTAATCATTTATGATTTTCAAAAATATTCAAAAATATTTTTAAAATTATTAAAAATTATTTAATATTAGTTTTTAAAATTATTAAATATTTTTAAATTGGCTAATATTTAACTTTACAAAATTTAATTTAAAAATCTTGACATATGAATATATTTTTAAAATCAATCTTATGAATAGAATTAAATTATCGTATTCAAACTAAAAATTTAAAATTTTAAAATTTTTAATCGATTTATTTAAATAAAATATTTTAAAAATAATAAAACTAAAATATATTAAATACTAAAAATTTCAAATTCTTTAAATTTGTCCACGCATAACAAAGAATTTTAGTTTACCACCTTGCTAGATAATAAATTAGTAATAGGGCAATTGACATATGTATATGGACGATATTAATCGGCAGTTATGAACTTAAGAGGACCTACGGTCCTTCGGCCTCAAACATCATATGAGGCATAAAGCCTTAAAATATTGAATTAGTAACCAACTTCATCCAATAATGAATCACACTACTATCGAACATAGTGGTGGAGATATTTTTTTTTCGTTCCTGAAGTATCCATCACCAATAGCAGTGACTAATTTCCTCGCTATGTTGGAGACACTTCAAAAGGTGGGATAGCTGGCCCCAAGATTTAACGCGACTGCATACACATAGTGATGGAGATTTGGTAATGGATACATGCATTAAACTTGGTAATTTTCGTTACTGTTATTGTGTACGAAAAAATTTATTATAATAATTATTTATGAGGGTATTATAAGAATATTTTTAATTAAATATTTAAATTCAATTGAAAATATTTGAGTGGAGTAATTAAAAATTGAAAATATTAACATGAAATATATATATATATATATATAAGAGGGGTCAAATTATTCAAAAAAAAATAATTCTTAGTAAAGTTGTTCTACTCAACAATAACTCATATATTGAGTTTTAATAATCTAATTGTTAAATTAACAATTCTTAATGTATAGATTAAATTTATAATTAAAAAATAAAAATCAGATAATATTTTGTAATATAAATTCAAATTAATATATAATAAAATTATAATTATTTATCAATTTAAATTAATGAAATAATGTATAAGATAATTTTAAATTTTTTTAAAAATTTATAAACTTTATCTATGCATTAAAAAATTTAATTTAATATTTAAATTGTTAAAATTTAAAATATATTGAATTATTGATCGAAGTATCTTTAATAAAAGTTAGTCTCTATATATACGTTACTTTTAATAGCCGTATTTAAAAAATACTGTGAAATGAAATCTATGAGCAAATAATTTTTGCTAGTGATACAAAAGTGCAGGATATAAGCGTGTAACTATGGGCGGAATACCATGTCCGCGGACCACGAACCCTTGGGCATCCTTCCTTTTGCCGAAAGTTAAGCGTGTAAAGTTGGTGTTCTAAGTCTACTTTTACCACCAATTGATCCCATCTTCGTCCATTGCATATTGCAAGCTCTATAACGTGTGTTGTGCTCTCTCTCTCTGTTCCATTCGCATCTTTACTATTCATGGCCAATCGATGGCTTAGGCCCGAGGTACGTTCTCACATGACGTTTCATCATTTTCCATATCCCTTTGTAGCACTTATTATTTAATTTATGGATTGTAGGTATACCCATTGTTTGCAGCTGTTGGAGTTGCTGTTGGGATATGTGGTTTGCAGTTGATTCGCAATATCTGCATCAACCCTGATGTCAGGTCAGGTCTCTCTATAGATACATAATCTTGCGTTCAAGAGTTAATTACTTAAACATGTTTGAAGCGAAAACTTTAATATTAAAACTTATGAAATATTTGCTAACGTATTGACTATTGAGTATGTTTTGTATTTGTATAGTGACTTGATTTTTGTTTGCACGTATGTATTTCCCCGAAAATGAAAAGGGTGAGGAAGGAAAAGAGAATTGCGGGAGTGCTGGATAACTCTGCTGAGGGAGAAAGGTATTCAGAGCATGTCCTGAGGAAGTATGTGAGGAACAAAGAGCCACAAATTATGCCCTCCATCAACACCTTCTTTGCTGACAAAACTGGCAATTAATTTGTTTAAGCCGATATACTCCTTTATTGTTTCGATTTTTTTGTTGTTGTTGTTGTTGTGTTTTTAAATAAAAAATAAACCCATGGGCTAAACCTTGTTTTTGGGTAAGCAACAAAAAATAAATTATTTCGATAATCAAAATAATTGTTTTTATTGTTATGATATTATATTTTGTTTAAATAAGTTTGTTCTAAGGAGAATTTAAGATATTTAAATATGTTTGAATAAAAAATAATAATTTTTATATGGTAAATTAACTTAAAAGAAAGAAGAAAAAAAAGCAACTGAGAAATAATAACAAGTCAAATTTTCAACTTTATAAAATTAGCTGAAAAAAATTGTTCACAAATTTAAGATGTTGCACACACTTTTTTTTAAGCAACTTTCCTAAAAAAAATGTTGAAATGGAAGATTATAATCTTTCTTAAGCATGTTCTTATGGGATAAAATAATAATTACGTACTAATGTATTAATGCATGTACTAATAAATTAATGCATATGGTTGCATGATGTACATAACAAATTATGTGTAGAGATACTTTTAATAATTTTGAAAATAATTAATGGGAAACAATATATATATTGTGATGCATATAGGCTATGTTGGAAACTTGTTTAGAACATTAAAAAAAAATCACCAAATTATGAAATAACTTTTTTTTCTTTTTCGTTGATTGTGATTTTGTTGGTTTCTAACTAGAAATCAAACATTTACAAAGGTTTTGAGTTTGAATTCTAGTCAAAATCTTTAGGTCTATTAAATTACCATTAGGATTTATGACTAGTGATTCACTATTTGATAATAAACATGTTCATAATAAACATAAAAAAATTGTCTAATTCTCATGTAATCATAATTATTGTATTAGGAAGGTCTCAAGATCGATAACATATCGGCCCCTGAATGTCAAGTGTTTGAAAATCTAACACATATATTTGGTTACCGACATTGAAACTAACAAGATGCATTGTTGGGGACAACTTGACCAAGGTTGTACCTTTGCCATAATTATTATGAAAAGTAATGTATGATTGTTACAAAATAATAAAAGTTCTTGAATATGTTTAATGATCAAACCTTCAATGGTAACATTTGTTTACCTATAAATATATTTGCATTAGACCTTCATAGGGTATGTATCATATACTATACATTTTTGAGCACATGCTAACTTGGGCATCAAAGTCCCTTTTGCACGTACTAACCACTTGACATTTGGAAGCCGAGGATTAAGGACTTTCCATTGAAAAATTTTTGCACTCATTTTCCAACAAGAACATTTGGTGCCCACCATGGGGTTGTTGCAAATTTTTCCTATGGATTCTACATAGTTGAAACAATTGCAAGAATAGGAGCTTTGCCATGCAAGTCTTATGGAATGTCCAATAACTCTCAAATGCTAACGAAGTTGTAGTGAAAGTTATAGCAATGAAAGGCATAGAGTGAGTTACAACAAAAATGACATGAAGAATAAATGGCTCTTCTTAGACAATAGAACACCGTGTTGTGGCAACTAATTGAGCAATCCCAATCTAACACCAGGATGTTGGATTTGGATCCTACATGGAAGTCGAATTCCTCAAGCTTTTTAGAGGACTCAACCTTTTCTTACAGAATGCCATTAACTCATGCAACGCGTTTTAGGGGAATTTGACCCTCTAATACATTGTGACCTACCAGAACATCAATACACACTTCACAACAAGTCGAAATGTCAACACCCCACTTTGTCACAATACTAAAGGAACTTCATAAGCACCTACTCACAAATAAAATAATGAAAGTTACCTTTTCAAGAGGATGGGAAAATTTAGGACTCGATAAGTATGACGGGACCTCTGAACCTAATGATCATGTAAGCCTATATGTTCTTCAAGTTAACATGCTCACCAATGTGATGATGTTATGTGCTGCTTGTTTTCCACCTCATTGAAGGGTGCAAATTTGAGGTGGTTTACTCATCCGTCTTTTTAATTGGTGAATTCTTTTCGAGTTTTTGTCTCCTAATTCAACACACAGTTTGCCATTGATGAGTCACACACTAGGACCTTGACGACTCTTATCAATGTCAAATAGAGAAAAGATTGATCTCTCAAAGCCTTCATGGGCAGGTTTGGAGAGGTTGCTTTCAAAATTCCCAACTTAGCCTAAGGGTTGTTTTACACCAGATGTTATCGATATTAAAGTTGGGCCCATTCTTGGGTAGTCTATATAAGAGGGAACGAGATCAATCCTAAATAACTTTTTATTCTCAACTTAAAGGTGTAATCAATACAATTGTTGGTGGGTTTGTTGGAGGTGGATCAACCAATTCAACGAAAAGGCAACACCTGTGCTTAGTGAAGTTAGTAAATACGACAGTAAGATAATCCCTTTTTGGAAGATGTTGTTGATAACCTTCACTAATGAGGATTTTAAAGGTTTGGATCTATACCAAGATGATCCTATGGCCATCACAATGGAAATGACCAATTCCGCTACGATGAAAACCTTAGTTTATCAATGCATCTTGGCTGACATTTTACACATGTCCATCTTTCGGTAACTCTAAATTCCTGTGTCAAGCATTAAATCCTATAATGATCAACTTGTCAGCTTCTCGGGGGGAACAAGTTGATAATCAAGGATATATTGACTTGTTAACCACCTTTGATGACGAGGAGAAGAGGAGAAGGACGATTAACATACGTTATATATTTTGTAGTATAGCGAGATTTCTATGTTAAATTATTTAAATCATAATTAGATTAGTATTAAACAATAATGAAAATATTACCCAAGTACAATTATCTGCTAATTATGTGTCAATTTTACAATTGTTATGGAATTTTAGTAGACATGTTTTCTGATGAAAATGGACCTATGATGGATTAGGCCATTTACTACGAGTAACCTGATGAAAGACCCTTACTTGCTATTGTGGAGTTATATGTTGGCTATCCCATTAAACTAGTATACACTTTTGACTCAATTCCTTAGAAAGAATGCAAAAAACTCTCAACCTAAGATCAATTTTTTCTCTCTAAGGTGAATCTAATGGACTTAGGTTAGTAATATGGTATTTCCAATTATATATGTAGTCATGTAAACATGTTGTAATTTGTATGTATGACTATTAAGCATGATATTATTCGTTAGTTTCTATCATTCTAAGTTTTTGAATTACTCTTTGTTGTATTTAGTGCATTAATCATTATTTGTATAATTTCACTTTAATATACTCAAATACATTACTTATCTATTACGAAATTTCACATAAGTGGGTTATCTTGTATGTAGCATGAATATGTTGTTATAGTGTGTATATCCAAAAACAGAAAAGTTTTTTGGTTAGAAGTCTAACTATTATGTATAATTGTTTCGTTCTTCTTATTGTTTGTTATAATTTGTATAGTTTAATCTTTAAAATAGTTAATTGAAGAATATAATATTATTTATGTTAATATGATTTTAATTATTTTGTAGACAAACCTCTAGAAGTCATTTATTTAAGTGCATAGAGTATGATGTTTACATTTTGTGTAATATTACGTATTTTTTAATTAATTATTTTTGATCGAATATAGAATAACCATTTTTATGACATTACAATAATATTTTTTTCTTTTTACATATTTTCATGTTATTATTTTATTTGTATTTAATGTATAAATATTTAAATAGTACTTATTTCACAAATAATTAGAAAAAGAAGACTCTTACTGATTTAAATAAAAAAGCTACGTATGATCAATTATACCTTACTAAACGATGTTATCATATTCAATTGTAAATTGTATTTGTGAATAAATAAATAATTTTATATTTTTTCTTTTTGAGGTCTTTATAGTTTTTCCTTCAAACTCTCATACAGCATCGTGATCCGTCTAATGCTTGACTTCGATTAACAAAACTCAGATTGAATTTAAGTTTATTTTTATTTTTTTTCTGATTTACAGAAAGGAAGATGAATCTTAGTTAAATCACACACACACGTGTATGTATGAAAATTGATTTTTGTTTTGGTACAAATGAAAATGAGGTGAATTATTATCCTTTTATTGATTGGGTTTTCCTCCTCTTTATATCTTTTTTCTTTTTCAAGCTTTTATCTTTTTTTATTATTTTTTCCTTCACGTTTATCAATCTATGGCTAACAATTATATTTAATTTTATAGGTATTTCGCATTTTATTTCAATTGAATATATTCTGATGAACAAAACTCACTTTAATCAAATATAGGTTCTATTTTTTTTAATTATAATTTTGCAAGTGTGAAAATAAGGAAAATATTTTATTTATTAAATTTTAAAATTGTTTCTATTCTCAAAAGTGTCATATTTATTCATTCTTTCATGCATAACTTAAATAGATTTTATTTTTAAAAAAATTGTAAACTATTTTTTTTGTCATTTTTGTTTATTATTATTTATATGTTTAACTTTTATTTAATAAGTACGAGGTATGATCTTTATTTATTATTATTTTGATTTGATATTTGATAACATTAACGACTATCTGATGGAAGATAATGATAAATAATCTATTGGTATGTAAGGAAAATCGATAAAAAAGACAATGCAATAAATAATAAGATCATTGACTTTTAAATATAAGTACAATCTGAAAAATTAAAACTTATTTTTTTTTATGACAAAGATATATATATATATATATATATATTATTTATAAGTATATTATTAATATAAAAAATTTACTCATTTTATTAATAATTAATATTTAATTTAAAATTTAATTGATCATTTTTAATTAATTTTTTTTCATTCACAAAACTTAAAATCGATATATTATTATTTAATGAGACCAAACTACGAGTTTCACATTTGATCTAATGACTTGTATATATTATTGTTTATTTTTAATATGTTATTTTTTTTTCTTACTTGACATTTAGTTTACTTTCTAACTTTTTTTTTAATTTTTTTTTACAATTTATGTATTTTGAGATATCACAATAGAATTATCTTAAAAGTTTAAATATCATTCCTCTCCGTCATTTTTACATTTATTTCAATATTTTTATCATCTTATCTAGTTGCATATATCATTATGATATTTTCATATTTATTTTAATATTTTTTTTAACTTCATATCTTTATATATATATATATATATATTTGAGCATATCATTTTGACATACTAAATTATTTATTATAATGTTAAAATATGACTTATGTATTTATAATTGTATATTTATCATAGATTTTAGTTATATAAAATAATATTTATCCCATACATACAAGTTATTATTATTAAAATATACAAAACATAACTGGTAATAAGAATTAAGACATATAAATTTATAATTATTGAAATATGCAACACATAATTGGTAATACAATCTAAAATATATAACTATGCAATTTAATAATTACCCAAAATAAACTTACTTATTAGAAAATAAATAATAGTTTAACTTAAATACTTATATGTATATATATATATATATATATATTTTCTTATTTTAATTAAATAATTAAAATAATATCTTATAACATGAGAAGCAATTTTTTTTTAATCACACGCGTACCTAAAAACCAATGTTCTATTTAAAAACAATTTCTAAAAAAACTTATTTTCTTATAATGCAATTAACTATTTAGATCAAAAGTTATATAAATAACACCTTATACTTAATATTGTAAAATAATCATCTAAATATTTGTTTGAATATTATACAAAAAATTATAGTTATGAACATTATATATTTGTGTATAATCACGAGTGTCATTTGATCGATTTGATAAAAATATTTAATATAAGACCAAAAATTACGAAAACAAATGTCTATAACAATAATAAAATAGTCTTTTTTTTTTGGTTCGTCTCTGGAGTTCTCACTGCTGATAACAGTGACTATTCTCTTCGTTATGTTGGAGACACCTCAAAAAGTGTAATAGCTGATCCCAAGATTTAACGCGACTGCATACACAAGACAGGATTTGAACTCTTAACCTTACTTAAGCGTGGATCAACCCCTGTATGTGTGAATACAAAATTACTTAATATTTGTTATATGTATCAATTAACATATATTTTTGTAAAAGTAGACGAGTTTTGTTGTTATTATGATACACATGACATTTATTTTATTACAGTACAGTAGAAGCAGCAGAATGTAAGAAATTGTAACGGGGCGCGTATTGCGGTTGATAAAGAAATTCCCGCTTAAGAGTTTGAAAAGACTTTGTTTGGATGGAAAGGATGATTTTGAAAATTGTGGGCGCGCCAAAACATTCTCTTATCCCTCCCTCTTTCTCTCTTTATTTAATGCTTTCATTTCATCATCTTTTCTTTAACTTAACCTAACCCATCCATGGCTTCTTCAGATCCCATCTCTTCCCGCCACTACACCTACAACCGCAAGCAAAAATCTCTCGGCCTCTTGTGCACTAAGTAACTATTCTTCTTCTTCTTCTTCTTCTTCTTCTCCTTTCTTCTCAATTCAATTCATTCATTCTCAATTCACTTCTCTTTCTCTTCCCCTCTCAGTTTCCTCAGCCTCTACAATCGAGACACCGTTCATTTGATTGGCCTTGACGACGCTGCTTCCAGATTAGGTGCATTCTCTTTTGCTCTTTCGTTTTTTCCTTTTCAGATCTAACTCATTTTTATTTTTCAGGAGTCGAGAGGAGGAGGATCTACGACATTGTCAACGTTCTCGAAAGTATTGGGGTTGCACATCTTTTATATATATATATATATATATAAGAACATACTTATATATATATATATATATATATATATATATATATATATATTTTAAATCTAGCAATTCTCATTAATTTTTGCTTCGTTCTATTAATTCTGATCCGTGCGTGTTTTAGGTCCTGTCAAGGAGGGCGAAAAATCAATACACATGGAAAGGTTTCGCCGCAATTCCTCTCACTCTCAAGGAGCTCAAGGTAATTCTATTTTGTGTTAATTTATGACTTATGCTTCCAAAATTATGCCAAAATTTTAATTTTAAGCTTGTTTTAATTTTGTAGGAAGATGGCGTAAAGGAGAATTCCAATTCCTTGCGCGGTTCTGGCAACGACACTGATAAAGTGAGTTGTGTGCCAAATGCTGGAACTTTTTTCTTTCCCTCTATCAAGTGTGTATATATATTATTACTTTGTGACTAATTAGCTGGAATCGATTTGTTATTGACCGTGTTTTTAGGTTTCTGATGACGAAGATGATGAAGAAACGCAGTCCAATTCCGCTACTGGAAGCCAAAGCGACAAGTTAAATACTAATTCTACTCTTCCTAGACCTGTGAAGAATGGTAACTAAATTTTATTTTAAACAAAAAAGAAGTTCAAGTTTTATCTTTTGATGTCGAAAATGGATTGTTTTTAAATCTAAGTGATTTTTTTTCTTTCGTTTATTAGGATTATCAAGTTGTTCAAGGGCTTCAATAATTTTTGTCTTTATTTCCTGTTGGTAGATTACCTGAACACCGAATTTTTTTTAATATAGAAATTATTTGATGTAACATGCAACAATATGCTGTGTAAAAACAAATAGAAGATTAACCTTCAATCGGACCAGCAAACTAATATAAAAAAGGGCAGCGCTTTTAATTTATTTAAGGTGGTATTTTCATTTGTTATATATAGAGAGTAAGGATATGTTTATTTTAGGGGTAAACTTAGTTGATTTAGTAATTCATGTTTTTAATTAAATTTTAATAATTTAAAGTTTTTAATATATAAATTTTTTAAAAAATTAGAAATTGTTTAATATTTTATTTTATTAATTTAAATTAATAAAATTAAGTATCAAATAATTTTTAATTTTTTTAAAAATTTATAAATTTGGTCTATATATTAAAAATTTTAAATTCAATGATTGAATCGTTTAAATTTGATATAAAATATGAATTATTAAATAAAATAAGTTTAAATATATTTATTCTTAAAATAAACTAATCCTTTATATATATATATATATATATATATATTTATTTATTTATAAAGGAGTTATTTTTTTTTGCATAATGTAGGTAGGAATCTGGAGTGTTTTTTTTCTTTGCTGATGGCAGCGTTACCAACTGTTGCATTTTAGTTGGTACTAATTCGTGCTTTTGAACTATTTGTGAAATAGCTGTGATGAACAAGAACTTTGAAACATGAAAATGTCGTTGTTAACCGGTTGTACTATTTGCAAATGTGGTTTATAGTGTTTCTAAAATGTGTTGCAGAAAATCGGAGGGAAAAGTCTCTGGCGCTGCTTACCCAGAATTTTGTCAAGCTCTTTGTCTGCTCTAATGTGAGTGTTAATTCAAGTTTCTTGGGCATTCCAAGTTTATATATCTTTTCATTAGCCGTGTAACATGCTGATAAGTGATATATGTTGTTAAAGATTAGCAATCATGACTCTAATCTACAGGTGGAAATGATCTCCCTCGATGAGGCTGCGAAATTGTTGCTTGGGGATGCACACAATACATCAATAATGAGAAGTAACACTCAATGATTTACAGTTCTTTTTCGGTATCCGTGACAAAAGTGTAAATTTCTAACTCTTTTCCCACTTGTACTCTGATTTGGCGTTGCAGCAAAAGTTAGACGCCTATATGACATCGCAAATGTGCTATCTTCCATGAACCTTATTGAGAAGGTGATGCTCGCCACTACCTTATCTCTTATTTGTGTGTTCACATGATTTTGTCTTGTGTCGTTTACTCGTTCCGTTTATTATAAGTCTGTATCTAAGCATATTCTTATCGTCAGCTGACCATGATTTTTAAAATTGATAGACGCATACGACGGATACAAGAAAACCAGCATTCAGGTGGCTAGGTCCTGAAGGAAAGACATGCAATGAGTCACTTCACAAATCAACTCTCAACGAGTCTAGGAAAAGGACATTTGGAAGTGATATAACAAACATCAGTTTTGAGAGAAATAAAGTGGAGTTGTTCATGAATGAGGATTTGAATCGGAATCCTAAGAAGCCAAGAACTGACAATGATATTGGCCTGAGTCAGGCAGATGAAAACAGCTTAAAACAAGTCACAAAACAAACATCGAAGGGCTATCAGTTTGGTCCTTTCGCTCCAGCTTGTGTGCCCAAAGTTGGAGCCTCTGAAAATGATAATGTGAAGCAGGTGCACGACTGGGACAGTCTTGCATCTGCTCACAATCCTCAATATCAAAACGAAGGTAATAAATATTCACCTTTCCACAACACAATGTTTGGCATTTGTTATTCAATCCATGTTTTTATTTTACATAAAATGTTTTGTACGGTATTTTTTTTTTCCCGGATAATATCTTGAGTTGGTTAACAACAAATATTTTAAGCTAAAATCTTAATTTTGTGTCTTATAATATTTTAAAGTTTTAATTTAGTTTTATTTTAATTTTTAGATTTAACTTAATTTCACTTATTAAATATGTTAGCAATATTTGTCTTTTGTCTAAATTTTTCAAATATTGTTTAGGAATATTTATGTGATTGAGAATCATGGGTGTAATTTTTATGATTTTTACTTAGTAGATTTTTTTTATGTGATTTACATAGTGGGAATCAGAGGTGTGATTGAGAATTATAGGCATGATTTTCACAACTTGACATTTGATAAATTTAGACAGAAGATAAATATTGTTAATATTTTTAACAGGTGGAACTAAAATGAACCTAAAAATTATAATGAGACTAAATTAAAATTTTAAAATATTATAAAGAATTAAATTCAAGTTTTAACCGATATTTTATAAGCGGTGAGTTTAATTTTTAATATTGATGCGAGAACTTTGTCGATAATAAACCGACCTCAAGACTTAAAAAAAAAACATTATTGTCTTCGTGAGCCCTCAAGATTAAGGATGATAAAAAAATCCATATACCATACACCTTTACATAAGGTTTGTTATGAATTGAAAATAATTAATTAAATGAATGCTTATTTATGAATAGGTAGAGAGTAGTAAAGTATTTAAATCAGTGGCTATTTGTATTTATTAAAAAGTTTTTTTAATTATATAAAGTCAATTAATTTAATTTATTTTAATGTAATTAAGTTACAAATTATTTTTAGCTTTAGTTTTTATTACTTTTTTAGAACTCATTTTATATTTCAATCAAATATTCTGTCAATAAATATAAAATTTATTAGACGGGTGAGTTGAGACTATTATTTGCATCAACTTTTGCTATCTGTAATCGAAATTTAGTTTATCTAATCATTTTAAGAAACAAAAATAATCTTTAGGATACTGTTGGCATAAAGAAAAATATGTTTATCATTTGAACTTGAGAATACTTATATTTTTGTTTGAATTTTCTGTTTTATTTTAAATCTATATATAGTTTAACAATATATTTTCTATTCTTTCTTTAAAAGATATTGTTTATATGTTTTGTTCCATGTCGCTGAAAGTGCAGGTGAAGCATGGAAGATAATTTTACGAGCAGATAATTTGAAATAATTAAGATTATTTTTGGTTAATTGTAATATTATGTGGAGTACATTTTTATAACTTTTTTTTTATTCTAATAATCTAAATGTTTATCCCTTTCAAAATTGATTTTCATATATTAAATATGAATGATTATTTTGTATGAGAGAATTTTAAATTTTTTTATGATAGAATTTTTAGATATCTTTTTAACCTTTCAATTAATATGATTATTATTTATTATAATTATTTATGAATCAAATTCTAATCTTTTAAAACAAGTTACAAAAAAAAATTAAAATTAATCTTATACTATAATATAAATTTAAAATATAATTTATATATTTAAAAATATTTATTTATATGAATTTTAAATATAATATTTTATGTATAATTTATTATAAATTTTAGTTATATTTAACTTATGTATTGCAGATATTTAATTCTAGTCAAAAGTATTTATGGAATAAAAAACTTCAAACATGTTTGTTATAACAATTCTTGAAAGCTCATTTTGGGATTCAGAGATTAATTTGGTAATTTTATATTTGATTGTTGTTTGTGTTAATATTTGATTAGTAAAAGTTATTTTTTTAAGCATGTATTAGTTTTTTTTTGTTTTTTTTTTTTAAATAGTGTATGGACCATTTCATTGAAAAAACAAAATCCGTCGAGCCGCCGATGCGGTCAATTGTTGGTGCAAGACCGCTCCTCAGTCGAAGCATGAGACGCCCTTCCTTCGTGCTCCGCAATCTCATTTTCAAAGCTCTGATGCGCCCCGAGGCTAGGTTCCTTTGTGGCACCTTTTATATATATATATATATATATATATATATATTTATTTATTTATTTATTTTATGAAAACGGTATTAATGTAGTTCACGTGTTGATTTGATTTTTGTTCCGAATATAAATGTTTTTCTTTTATACCTGAGGGCTAGGTCAGCTTTCCTCCAACCCTTATCCCACGTAAAAATTGATTCTTAAACTTTCGAACCTGGTATGAATGGAGATGCTTTAAAGATCATTTAACCTTCATTATTTTTATTAATATTCAGTAGCTTGATTACCGATATGACGATTGTTTTACTTTTGATTCAGCTTTGAGAGATCTCTTCTCCCATTACATGGAAGCATGGAAATCGTGGTACTCTGAAATTGCTGGGAAGAGGCTGGTACAAATTTTGTGACTTATGTCCGCCAAATAGTAGGTATAAAATGTTTAATGCATTTTCTCCATGCACTCGCTGAGCTTCCATTTAGGGGCTCACCCAGGTCAGCTTAGGAAGTTCCCTAAATTATTTATTTATTTATGCAATGTAGAAATCATATCCGCTTCTCTACTGAAGCTGTTAATTTATGGAAAATAAAATTCGAGTTCTTTTAAAGGTTGCATTATTTTTTAAGTTATGAAAGCGAATTGTCGTTAATTTCACCATTGTGAAACAATGGAAATGTTGTCAGCCAATTATTTTCAGTTCAACATTAATTGCTTTTTGATAGCATTTGAGTTTTGAAGACCTTGGTTCCTTGTAATTTGGCAAAATGGAAAATATTACAAGGAAATTTATTATTGGAAAAAGGAAAAAAAAAGTGTGGATATATTCCGAACTTTATCAATGTAAGCCTTATGACACAATCCTAGGATATTTTAAGAGCTTTCTCTCAATATCTAAATACCCAACAGAAAAGAGGCTTTTCCAAAATCTTTTATCACAGACTTCATTATTTCGGATCTCTGCATCTGTGGTTGGTTTTAAAAAAAAATAATAGTGAGAAATAGAGTGGAAAAAATAAAAGAAAGAAAAATAAATAAATAAATAAAAATAGTTAAAAAGTAAAATGAAAATGAGTTTGTTTTATATGAAAATAATATGTAAGAAAATATTATAAAGTTATTTGATTTGAATGGATGAAGAAAAAAATAAATTTTAGTTAAAAAATTATAATTTTATCCTTTGAGATTATGATTTTTTTTAATCAATTAAATCCTTTTTTTCAATTGAATAAATCAAATTTATTTATTTGGTTATATTTGAATAGAACCTCTTCTTACCGGAGATCGGCCGTAGGGGATGATCTGCTAGGTAAGATCGTTGAGCCTCCTTTACTGGGTACGCTTGTTGCTCCAAGATGAGGGTGATACCTGCAAAAGAGACTTCGATGCTAAATTTAGTGTTTGTGAGTGTATGAATCTTGTATAAGTAATGTACATATTTTGTGTGAATTTAGGGTTTTTTTTGGGCCTTGAGCCTGAGATCAGTTTATGACCTATTTGGATGTCGAGCTGACGTGGCCTAGTGCGTGTCTGAGGTCACGTCGTGTTGAGATGCCGAGCTCGAGCTCGGTATAGCGATACAGATAGTACAGAACCAAATAAATATTTCATTGGAATGTTGTTTATTTAAACAAAACAATTTTTAGGGAGTTATATTATTCAAATAAACAACATTTAAATAAAGAAGACACTTGAATTTGAACGACATAAATTTGATAAACTTAAATAACTATTCATTATTAATACTTTTATTTTAAACTTAAATAACATATATATTCAATTTAATTAACAGTGTTGTTCCTGTATTAGGATACACACTTCACTTGTCCTTGTTGAAGCGGGTCTGGTCTTGGGTCTAGGTCTTCTCGCTCCTTTACGAGTAGTCCGAAGTGAGGAGGGAGTGTCTGCAAAGACACTCCAACGCTCAAGTAAGTGCTTGGCGTAATAAATGCGATAGTTGAAAGTTAGTTATGTATCTCATTGAGGTCCTATTTATAGTAATTCTTGTTGGTCCGTGATTAGGGACTGAGCCTCGAAAAATTAGGGGACTAAACCGGCACATTACGTAAATTAACCTCTTGTTAATTGTCCTGGCATAAATTCGTAACTTGGCCGAGCACACCGACATGTTTGGCTCAGGCAAGAGGTGGTCGGTGTACTCGGCAGAGTCGTTTTGGGTCGGTCGGGTCGGGTATTCAGGTATTCGGCCTAGTCGGTTACCATCCGGTATAAGTGTATTCAAATATATTTCACAATATTTGAATAAAAGTAAGAATCTTTGTATACAGATTTGAATAAAACATAAACAATGTAAGTCCATTCGAATAAAAATAATTTAGCTATCTGAATGAGAGAACTTTATTTTTCTTTCATGTTCAAATAAGAAAGAAATTTTAACATAAATAAAAGTGTAACAAAGAATAAGTTTTCTTGTGTCTTCGTTATTTCCTCTCAATTTTGAGAAGAAATTTATAAATGAAAGGTTCATGTCTATAAATCTCTTATTTTACAAAACTCATAAATTAAAAGAGTAGCAAAATTTTTATTGCGGTATTTTTTCCCCCTCCACTATTTCATTGGTTTTCATGCCTACAGATCACGGTGTTAATTTTAGGCAGAAGAATCAGAATAAAAAAAAAAAATATTCTAAAGTAATATTATAATTTTTTTTACCAAAATAAATAATTTTGGACACGTAAGATACGGAGGAAAAAAGAAAACGTTAGAGTGGGTAATGATTTGTGGAAAACATCATTCAGAGTGATGAGGTTACACTGTTTACACAGAAAATGTCATTGGTACTGACATTTTATGTTCATCAAGAAAAAGAACAGAAAATGTCAGCACTAGTGATGTTTTCTATTCAGTTAAAAAAAACCACAAAATGTCATTGGTACTGCCATTTTGTGTTCATAAAAAAAAGGCAACAAAAAATGTTGGTACCAATGACGTTTTTTGTTCATAAAAAATTAACAACACAAAACGTCATTGGTACTGACATTTTGTGTTTGACTCTGGCCACTCTTAACTACTCTGAAACCCTAGGCTCTGAACCATTGGGGACTGACACACGTTTTTTGACTATGAAACACGTCATCAAGGGTGACGTCTATCATTCAGAAGTTATGTTATATATAGATGAATGAGTTGCTGTCTTCGACCATTCTCATTCTATAAACCGTGGATTAGATTTTGAATCTTTGAAGAAAAAAATTCATGTGAAGTTGAAATTGCATCATAACCAAATTGTTTCCAGCATTACTTGCAAATATTTGCATTGTGTGAATCCTGTTTTTTTTTATCTAGTGGTAGAAATTGTTGACGATGAAGATGTTGCATGCATGTTTGATAATTTTCAATGGCAAAGTCATATGAATATGATAGAATTATATATTGTTGTTGATATTGTTGGCACATCTTCTTTTTCCTTATAAGAAATAACTACAACAAAAGAAGCACATCAATCTCTAGTTTTAACACAGTCAAATGTAATGAGTAGTGACCATCAGTTTGAGTAAACAAAATCGCCACCAACAAATCATCCTGATTTAAACGTTGATTTTGCAACAAACATAAGTGACGATGATGATATCAATGTTGAAGAAGATAATGAAATTGCAGATGATAGCTCATCTGACGAAGGTAACATTGAGCCTCCCATAATGAACGAATTAGGTAATTATAAATGTTTTTTGTAGTTTGATTTTCATTTAGTAATATTTATTATTCATATTGTGCCTGTTGTAACCGTATAGGTCCATCACAACCTCCATTTTGGAGCAATACTCCACATTATAGTTACGTTGATTGGTCTCATCCAGATCAAGAAATGTGGTATGGTGGATTAGATGTTCCCAATTCTTGGCGCGTTGGAGATGAGTTGTATGTTGGGCTACGTTTTCATACAAAAGCTGATGTACAAATGACTGTTAAACACTACTCTATGAATGCTCATCAAACATTTGTAGTTGTTCAGTCTGGATTGAAGGTTTTGTCTGTACGATGCCCTAATAGTAATGAAGGTTGCCCTTGGAAACTAAGGGCTAGTATGTCCACTAAATACAATAACAAGTGGGTCATAAAGAAATAGGGTGGTTGACACACATGTATTAATGCAATATTGTCTCAAGATCACAACAAATTGGACTCAGAATTCATTTGCGTTTGCATATTAGGTAACTTTATCTATACATACTTTTCAAAATTTTTAAAATAAAGGTATTTTTCATAATAATGTTAGTAATATTGTTAATATTTCATTTTAGGAATGGTTAGGGAAGATGCTTCCGTGTCAATATCCTTAATTCAAGAAAGAATAAGTGGACAATTTAATTATAAGGTTTCCTTCAGAAAGGCCTGAAAAGCAAAACAAAAAGTCATTTCAAGAGTTTTTGGTGATTGGGAAGATTCATACGACCTTTTGCCAAGGTGGTTGGATAGAATGCTAGAATGTTGTCCTGGTTCTGCTTATAGACTTGAGACAACAGAGTATGTTTCAAATAATGTCATCGACGCACGTTTTTGCAAGTTTCGCCGTGTGTTTTGGACATTTAAACCTGCCTGTGATGCATTCAATTACACAAAACTTATCATACAAATTGATGGAACATTTTTATATGGAAAATATCGCTACACTCTATTAATCGCTACAATAAAAGATGGTAATGCTCGCGTTTTACCGATTGCTTTTGCTGTAGTCGAAGGTGAAACATTAAGTGATTGGTCATGGTTCTTGTCAAACATTCGTCGGTATGTAACTACAAAGCAAGACATTTGTTTAATATCAGATCGACACCAAAGCATCAAATCAGTTGTGGCAAATGAAAATAATGGTTGTCAACTACCGTATGGCTATCATGTGTATTGTATTCGTCACATTGCAAGCAATTTCAACCATCGGTTTAAAAATGTGAAACTCAAACAAGAGCTGATTCACATGGGTAAAATATTATTTCCTTCTTACATTCTGTGTTTTTATAGTCCATAATATGTTATGCTAAACTCTAATGTTAATATTTGGATAGGCTACACAACTTGCAAACATAAGTTTACTAGAAGACTTGAACAATTTTGTGAGATAACCCCAGAAATTCGTCGATGGATTGATGGGATTTCGTTAGAAAAATGGAGCCTTGCCCATGATGACCTAGGTCGTAGATATGGTCACATGACTACAAACTTGTCTGAGGCTGTCAACAAGTTCTTAAAGGGTGCTCATAACCTACCAATAACAGGTCTTGTAAAGTGTTCATATGCTAGGTTAGTTGAGTATTTTGTGTAAATGTTAGGTCAAGCAAATGTGGAGCTTGCCGTTGGTCAACGATATTGTACAAAATTAATGGATGTTATGCAGAACTACCAAGAGTAGGCAACATCTCATTTTGTTCGAAGATATGACTATGAGGCCAACATATTCAAAGTGGAAGAAGCTTTTAATCCAGTTACACAAAGAGATGGTCATACTTGGATAGTACTTCTTAATGAACGAAAATATGAGTGTGGAGCTTTTCAAGCTTACAGATATCAATGTTCACATGCCATTGTCGCATGTGCTTATGTTCGCATAGATCCCTTGACCTATGTTGATGCTACCTATTCAAATGCATATATCAAAGAGGCATATTCTGGCCAATGGTACTCGCTTGCAATGATGACAACATTCGTCCTACCAATGGACCTCACATTGTCCCTGACCAAAGTATGTTGTGTGGTAAAAGCTATCCGAAATCAACACGTATAAGAAATGAAATGGATTGGATAGAGTCACAACGAAGACAACGTTGTGGACATTGTAGGGTTGAAGGTCATAATAGAACAAACTGTCCGCAACTAGCATCAAATATCATTGATGACCTAAATCATTAATGTCTATATGGAGTTTTCATCATGTAATATTCAGTCATGTGTATTATTTTAAGTATTTGTTCTTCTGTCTAATTAAGTATGAATTATTTTAAATTATTGGTGCATGACTATTAAAGACAATAATGACTGAACATGGATTAAAAATTTTAATTCATTACATAATTAAATGTCCTAAAAACACAAAAATATAACATACAAATTAATCATCTCTTACGCCTCCATCGTGGATCTATCAGATCATGAGGTGACAAAATACATTGACGACCATGATGCCTAGCACCCCGATCTGGGTTCCTTCTTATATGGTCCTCCTCTTTTACTTCTTCTGTAGCAAGCGTCGTTTGTCCAAAACCTGGTTGTTCAAAAGAAGACTGTCCAATAGAAGTAGGTAGTCCAAAACCTGGTTGTTGAAAAGTAGACTGTCCAATAGAAGTAGGTTGTCCAAAACCAGACTGTCCAATAAAAGTACGTTGTTAAATAGAAGATCCTCCAAAAGAAGTACCATGCATATCATCCTTGCCATATCTAAATGGATAATAAGGTGTTGACGGGGTCATCATGTTGCTCGTATAAGGATATGGAGTCTGTGTTGCTTGAGAAGGAACATAGGTACCAGATG